GTGCAGGCCTCCCTACGAGGTACAACAATGGTGATTGGGGTACGGTGTTTGTACTCACCATTACACTATAAATAGAAGGCCTTGGGGTCCTTCTTGAATCAACAAATCATCAGCCTAACTCTTCTCTCTCCATCTCAATCTTCTCTCTTAAATCTCTCTCTCCCTCCATACCTCTCTATCCTAATCACCACCATAGGACCACCACTTCCACCATCCTAAAACACCCAAAACACCTTACTTATAATCCCCTTAATCACCACCCCCCTCTCTGCCCTTCTCCTTCATCGAATCCCACTCAAAACAGGAGGAGGAACCGGAGGAAACCACCCCTGGAACCACCCACGGCCACCATACCATCACCCACTGCCACCACCAGGAAAAACCCACCTCCACCCCTTGGTTGCTGCTGAATTCGATCCCCAAGGGCCTCTCCACTCTCCCTGCATCAAAACCCATGATCACCAACAAGAAGAAGGCGAAAGAAGACCACGGGAGCGGCCTCCTGCCAACTCCGTCACCTCTTTGTTGCAGCTCCAAATCATCGCCGATCACCACCTGTGCTACTATTCTTCAACCGTAAGTCATCCCTTCTTCCATCTCCTTGCTCGGTGTCACTCTTTTGCGCATTTCCGATCGACAAAGAACCATATTAGTATTTTTCTTTCTCGTGATCGACTGCGAACGAAGGAAAACACAGGAGGGTGACCACCTCTTGTGTAATCAAACTTATATAACTTTTTAATATATACAATTCCTCAACTTCGACTTTGGCCAGTTTTGACCCCTCCCCCTTAAAATTGTTTTTAAAGCAAATCCTAAATTAATAAAACTTAAGTTAAAAGTTACAAAAAATACCCCCAGTTTGGAAAAACCTTTTAATTTGACGCAATCTTAATATCAACTAGATATCAACTAGAAAGGTTACCCCGCTACGCGGGGGCCAGAAGGATTCGATGTTCTTTCCGAAACGACGTGCACATACGATATTGGGTGCAACCGAAGTAAATGATGCCTATTGGACTGCAGTTGAAACCTTTTTGTATCCTTTTTAAATATAGAACAAACTTTATCTGTTTAAGTTTGTATTGTATTTTTATAGTATGTTGCTATAAAAAAAATGGTTGTAAACAATAATAGGATGTTATAATACACAATATAACAATAGCGGGAGTCTATACTGTCTGCTGAACATTTGAGGGACCAACAGTCTCACGTACATTCCTCCTGATAAGCATCTGTTATCCCCCACTCGACATCCAAAATTTCAAATGATCAAAATACCAAAATCCTTGATAGCTTTGTTCTCACTGTTCAACTTCTGCAAAATCATATAAAGTGAACATTAAAGCTATATAAATTTTAAAATCATAATAGCAATGTCCAACCCAACCAAAGCATGCAAAATAAAAGTACAATGCTATAATAGGAATGATTTTGAAAGTATAATGCCTATAAAGGAAATGAAAGTAATAAACAAATTCAAAACCAAATACATTCATTATTTATAAAATTCAAAAATAAAAATAAAAAATTACCATCTTCCATTAATTAACTCAGTACACTTTCATGCATCTTGCATGTCCTTATATCTTACCAAAACAATATTATAATAATTTCTCTTAAGGATACAATCAGTAATATTTAGGGACCAAAAATGAGCAAGTTAGGAACATTAATATTAGCATTTTTCAGTAGATTGATGTATTAACTATATGAAATGTGTCTTTTGGTGAGATTCGTAATCATAGATTATTTATGGCATGTGAAATTAAGAAAACAAACCCATTTATCAACATTTTCTTGTTATGTGCCATTATAGTCAAAGGTGTTACTGTAAATTAAACAAAATAGTAATAATTATCAATAATTCTTAATTTCAAATCGTTAAAATAAAATGAACTATATGGATATTTTATAGTTTAAATAAGTGAAATGGAACAATACTTACGCTATTACACCACAACTAATGAATTACACAATAAATGTTTGATCAAACAACCTTCCAGAAAGGAAATATTGACATATAACGAAAACCAACCTGCTTGCTTGAAACAATCTGAACATGGCCAATTTTACAGAGACATATTTCCCACCTGATGATAACTTCTGTTTCACTATTTGTCATGGAATATGCAACCAAAAAGTTAGGCATTCAAGTGAGAGAATCTGAAATTCCTCATTAAAGTGAGCCACCCCCCATATTTAAATATGCTTATTTATTTTGTATTCATGTTTGATAATCTAAAAAAATTTGAGCCCCATAAAAGCTTGCAACTTACATCATTTACTATTGACTCACATGAAACTCATGTTTGCTTTATTATATTCTTATATTTATATCATATCAGAATGTATTATACCTCTTCAAGCATGGAACCACACTCAGAAATGAGAGCAATGTGATTCAAAAGCAGATGATACCATGCTAGCTTCATGAGCACAACCTCTCATAGCAACAAAAGTCTTTTGTAGATCACCTGATACAAACAATAACGAAAATCATGACATTTGTAAGTAAAAGGGTTGTCTGGTTATTGATGGACTTTCACTAACAGATTTAAGCCCGATTTGGCTTGGGATTTAGGGTAACTTACCCGAAATGGAGCCGGAATTATAACCTGAAAACCAATAAATATTTAATTTTTCTTACAGAAATGATAAAAAAAAAACAAAACACATGTATACGCAGACCTCGTCTCCTGGGGAACAAATAGCAAGAACTGCTTGTAGTAAACTCTGTTTTGCCCCGTTACTGACCACAATTTCATCAGGTGTGTAAGAAACATGATTCTCCTCTACAAGAAACAAAAGAAAAATATTTAAGGAATCATCATTAACATTTATATCCGAAAAAATTTCATTTGATCTTACCCTTCAATTTCTTGCATATTGTTGTTCGTACTTCATGGGTACCTGCATTCCAGGGTTCATTGATGCTGTTGTGAAGGTTAAAAACAAAATATTTTAATGTTTTATTTCTAGCTTACCTTGAAAACGTAAAACCAAATAAAACCAAGCCAAAGTAAGTCGTTATCCTGTATTTGTTTTGATATTTGTCGATATCAATTGATTTGGAAATATTAGATTAATTATAAGAGATGCTACAACTCGTATTTTTATCAAAATTGTGTTAGACCAGCTGGTTTAAACTATCCTATGCTAAGTAAAAAAACTGGAAAACCTTCTCCCTTAAGCTTTATGTTGCGTAGCTTGACTGATAACTATCGTGGAAATCCCAAAATCGGAAGAAACCTAAATCAGAATTTGAAGAGTGACGTACTTGATCGAAGTCGAGAAAGGGATAGGTCGAAGTCGAGAAAGGGATAGGCGGCGAGTCTCAAGCAACTCCGGCTCCAAACAGGCGGTATTGGAGCCGGCAGCTAAACCGGTGATGGCGTGGGTCCAAACCATCTACTATTCATCGAGGGTGGGTGGGTCGTGCGGTGGGAATAACTCTTCTTCGCTTCATATTCTTCGTCTTCCTCATCCCCTTCCACCCGGAGAATCGGTGCAGGTGGTGCCGGTGGCGGTGGCGCCGCAGCTTCAGAAGATGATTAGAAGAACTTGTGGATTGAGGCGGTGGAGACGATCGACAGGAAGAATAGAGACAAACAGAAGAAGGGAGAGGCGGTGGAAGTGAGGAAGTGAGCAATTAAAAAGAATAAAGAAGTATTTGAGGCGGTGGAATCTGATGGATTAACCAGGTGAAGGAACCAGTGGACACGTGTACAGAAGACGTATCACTCCTGAAAGAAGCAAACACGTGTGACAAACAATCTCTATATTGACATAAAATAACCCCTAAAAGAAAAGAAACACAGTTGCAACCCCACCCATAACCCACTCATAACCAAAGGACCATTTCTGTAAAAAAAAAAAAAAAAAAACACAATGTTTACTTTACTTTTCTTCATAACATTAATATATATATATATATATATATATATATATATATATATAATATATATATATAATATATATATAATAATTTATTTATAAAAATCTTATATATTTTATTTATTTATTTAGTTATCTATTTTAGATTAAGTTAAATATTGATTTATTAATTTTGATTTTTACAAAATATTAACAATAGTTTGAATTTAATTAATTTTGGTCTTATTTACCAAATTTGGAAAATATTAAAATAAATATTTTTTAGATAAAATTTATTATTTAAATAAACTTTTGAGATAATCAAACTTGGAAAAATTGATAAGTTGTTATACTTAGTCAAAAATACTCAATCATTTCCACATATTAATTTATGATATTATTTCGTTAGGAAACTAAATATCTCATTCACGGCAATACAACCCGACCTTCTCGCATCCATTCTCGAACACTAATCGTCAACTGCTTGTTAAGGTGAGTGTTACAGCCCCAGTTTTACATATTTTCTGGGGCGGGGGGGGGGGGGGGGGGGGGAACATGTACTACTTGTAATATATATATATATATATATATATATATATATATATATATATATATATATATATATATTATGAGATAGGTTCAGGTGTTTTAACTAAGTATTGTGTTATTGTATGCATAAATGTGGGCCAATCAAAATTAAATTAAAAAATAAATAAATAAATAAGGGTAATTTAGTCATTTGTTTAATAACTTCCAAAAATAATCCCTATAATCATGGTATCTCTCCAGTTTAAATCTCGTTCCCCTCTTTATCTAAAAACCGATTCTGAAAACTCTAAATTGAACAAATCGACACCCCCACCCTTGTCCCTCCAGCCGCCATTACCCCTTTATTCCAGTCTGCATCAAGTTCCGATTCTGACTCGGAGTCGGACGACGAAGCTCAAGCTGCTCTCGAATTACAAACCCTAGAAACGGAGCTCTCGACAAGCCCAGCCAACTACAATGCTCATGTTCAAGTATGTCCGCTTATTTTTGCCTGTTTGGTGTTATATGCTGAAATTGAGTGTAGTATATAAAGGCTTTGAGGAAACAAGGCGATATTGAAGGCGGAGGCGAGGTAAATGACGGTGGCGGTGGCCATCACCGATGGATTAGAAGTTGACGGAAGTGACGTCGTCGACATTAACATACGGTGTTCTGGAATCACGAAGTTTGTCGTTCATGTGAGCTTGGATTCGTCTTCTGATAATCCATTTTTTGTCCAGTTCGAGTTTCTCTGTTGGTTACGATCTAATGCAACGTTCTTCAACCCACCCCCACCCATGAAGTTGATTCAGGTTAGTCCCTATGTCTTTGTCTCTTTCAGTTTCATGAACACCTTCTCGCCTTAAAATTCTTCAATTTCCCATTCGCTTTTGTCTCACATGAACTCACTGTTTGCCCTCTTCCTTGAAATGGGTATAAGAAAAAAAAAGGAACCACACTATTTTGAAGAATCACAACTGATCCTCCCTCGTCCAACCATTATAAATTTTGATTTGGATTAACAGTAGATTCCTAGAATCGAGTTTTTCTTGAATATGAGCGGGGGATATTAGGTTGCAATCTACATACTGAACTTGTTTATTGGGTTTCTGTCACCACTTTTTGACCTTGAGCTGGAATTTTCTGATGGTCCCCTACTACCTACTAACATCTCAAATGAATTCAAGCCTTTATTCAGACTGCTACCCGAGTTCAAGTTCTGGTAATAGTTTCACCCTTTCTTGTTCTTACTCTTCTCCTCCCTCTTTATCTTTGTGTGTGTATCCTTTTATTTTTCTTTTGTGGGAAATAAGTTTAGTGGTATAGCTGATTCTTACTGACTTGATATGGTTATGTATACCCATGTCCCTGTAGTTGTTATCATCTAATAGTTAGGATGGATTGGTCACATTGTAATGTGTCAGTGCTCTTTAGCAAGTAGCAAGTTTCAAGTTTGTGGAATTCTTGAATGATCTTGGAATCTACATATGAGACTCTAATTGTATAAGTCATGGTTGGATTTTCAAATAATCACTGATCATAGAATTCAGTAAGCTTTATGGTAGAAACCTAATAAATTTTCATGGAGACAGACATAACAAAGGAAAGTTAGTAAAAAGGTTAATTACTCTTTAAACTTATTGTAATCTACATATTAAAAATTCATTTCTTTATTACTTTTATTTCCTTTATTGATTGATTAGTAGTGTCCTCTAAAGTTGTTAGAAGTGTTCTTGCCTATTGAGAAGTAGTTTTCAAAATTTTCTATTGAGAAACTGTTGTTAAGTCTTTGAAAGGTGGGATGATACTTGTCATATTTTATAGTTATATAATTATATTATTTAAGTCAAGGATCTAATCAGTTTTTTATTATTAGGCTCCTTAAACTGGTAACTTTTGAAGATGTCTGATTCATATTTCAATTTATGTTTTTTTTCTCTGATTTAACACTTCATTTATGTGGACAGTGCAGGATCTTGACAAGGTTGAATTCTGAAAAGGTATCAAGTATGTTTATGTAGATGATTTAATGGATGATATTGGTGAAATTCCAATTCTATTGGAATGGAATCACGTATTCCAATTCTGTTGGAATAGAATCACGAATTCATATTTTGTTGGAATCACAGAAGTTGATGCTTGAAGAACGGAACACAAAATTGAAACGGTGCACATTATTCTTTTAGAATGTATTAGTCGTTGTTAGATTTTGATGTTTTCTTTCCTTTTTAAAAAAGTTTTTTTAGTTTTATTTTTTAACAATAAATGTAATTCTTAACAATTGTTACCCGTATTCTATAAGAAATAATGTATTTTTTGTTTTTATCCTTCAATTGATTGTTTAAGAATTTGTTATTCTACAAGAAGTTCTTAAAGTCATGATCACGAAATAGGTTCAAGAATATTTTTATTATTTATTGTTCAAGAATATTTTTATTTTTGAGTAAATAATTAAATAAATAAACATATTCTGTCAGAATGTCCGAATTAAAATAGTTATAATTCGTACATTCGGATTTTTAAAATTAATAGAATCTATGATCCCTTAAAATATGCAATTTTCCTTTCTTAAATCTATATTAATTGACTAAGATACCCTTGTAATTAAATTAGATGATATTTTTCAATTACATTTAATTCAATAATATATATTAATCACTTTCTTAAAATAAGTAAAATTGATTGGCCCACAGTTATGCATACAATAACACAATAATTACGTTGAATAGACTAACCTAGGCCTGGTCATATATATATATATATATATATATATATATATATATATATATATATATATATATATATATATATATATATATATATTCTAAATGCTTTGTTTATACAAACAACATCACAATTTTTTTATATAATATAAATCACACAAAAATATTATTTACTACTTTACTATTTACGGTACGGGGAATCTGCTTTGAAGGTGCTTGGGTTGTTGGATTTCAGAACGGCTTAATTGCTAAAATAATTCTGTCATCCCGAGTTTCATGTCTGGCCCTCGCCTGTACAATGGTAGTACGTGTACTAAGTAATATTTATCATACAAAATACAAATGAAATATCATTGTTTTGTGTAAACACGTTACTAGTTTGAGAAATAGTTTTTTAAACGCATATATGTTAAGTAAAGAAAATTGTTTTAATACAACTAAATAAAATAACATATACAATCTGAATATAAAGGTGCTATGATTGTGTAGACGGTTATCAACTTGGTAGTTTCAATATACCTCATATGTACTCAAAAATATATAGGTTTGTATATTTATACAAGTTTTAGAACTTGTATCTTAGGCTCATATATTTGCTTGTGTACACTATACTAAGTTTTATCAACTACTTAAACAAGTATCGTACACTTTTATGTGTACACTTTTATGTGTACACTTATCAAATATACTTGTTGTTTATTCGTTTATCCGTATATGGGGTTGTTAAGTACAACCTTGGCATATAACTTTATTCTTATATATGTATGTCTGTTTATCCGTTATCCGTATAAATTGTCACTATAGACTTTAACTAAATTTCATTATCTAGAATCCAAAGTTTAGATTTTTATCTTTATCAAAAACTTGCAAACACGGTTTTACTTAAAGGCAATACTTTTTGAACTTTTTAAAAGCATTGTACTGTGGTTAAGCATAAAACATGTGACTCTCACCAACCTTTGTGTTGACCCTCAAACTTACATGTATTCTCAGGAGATAATTAGACAAGCTTTCAGACAGAAGATTAGTCGTGGATTACAGACGACCTAGCAATTTAGTTTTTGTTATCTTCCTACCCGTTTAAGGCAACTACTATACTATTATTATTTGTAAGAACCCTGTATTCAAACTTAATGAAGGAATACAAATGTTTTTTTGTTTATCGTTATACTTGTGCTATATATTCAGTTTATATTTGATCTATGAACTTAGCCGCACTCCCGCCATGTTCCGCCTTCGCTAGGGGTGTGACAATTCGAGACCTTCCGCCAGACACTGTGTGAGGCACCTATACTTGCCCTCGTTGAGGGAGTTAAGGCCATAAAAGCATAAAATCGGAAAAGTGAGCAAGTGATCGGCCAGATTTTAGCCTTTGATATGGACAACCGGGGGTTTCACTCTTCATGGACAGTTTTGTGTAACATATTCAGGTAAAGTCCGACGGATTTTGATGGTGGAGGCCCACAAGTCGAGAGTTTCCATTCATCCAGGGGCTACCAAGATATATCTCAACCTGAAGCATAGTTACTGGTGGCCATGTTTGAAGAGAGATGTGGCCTGCTTTGTAGCGTGATGTTTAACCTACCGGAAGGTCAATGCCTAGCACAAGCGGCCTCATGGAAAATTGCAGTCTTTAGAGGTTCCCTTGTGGAAGTGGGAGTATATCACCATGGATTTTATTATGAAGTTGGTAAAGACAGTGAGGGGTGTTGACGCTATCTGGGTGATAGCGGATCTTTTGACGAAGAGTGCTCACTTTCTAGCCATTAGCGAGAGCTCTTCTACAGAGAAGATGGCTGAGATTTATGTTTGAGAGGTGGTGGTTTGGCTTGGGGTTCCAACTTTGATTGTGTCGGACCGAGATTTGTGTTTTACTTCCAGATTCTGGAAGAGGTTTCACGAGGAGTTGGGTACCCCTCTACACTTCAATATTGCATATCATTCGAATACGAACTCCCAGAGCGAGCAGACTATTTGGACGCTCGAAGACATGCGGCGTGCATGTATCATTGAATTTGGTGGGAGTTAGGACTCCTATCTTTCGTTAGCTGAGTTTTCTTGTAACAAAATCCATCATGCAATTATCGGTATGCCACCATTTGAGCATATGTATGGAAGGAGATGACGGACACCTATTTATTGAGGCGAGGTTGGACAAAGGTTCATGTGGAGCACGGAGGTAGTGCTCAAGATGACTAATCTTATACAACAACTTAACCAAAGATTGCTGACAGCCAGAGTCGCCAGAAGAATTGTGTAGACCGGCGACGCTTTGAGCTAGAGTTCCATGTAGGGGATTTAGTGTTACTGAAGGTGTCACCCTGGAAGGGTGTTATCCGCTTCATGAAGAGAGGCATGTTGGGGCCCATGTTTATTGGCTATTTCCAAGTTTGGGCCCATGTAGGCAAAGTGGCTTACTGGTTGGAGCTGTCGGAGGAGTTAAGGCAAATTCATGATGCCTTCCATGGTTGAGGAAGTGTATAGTTGATGATACAGCCGTGGTCCTTTTTGAGGACATTGAGGCTGATGATGGCCATAATTATGTTGAGAACCTATGGTAATTTTGGATCAGAGAGTGAAGTCCTTGAGGAACAAGGTATTGGCCCTAGTCAAAGTTCAGTGGAAACACTAGAAAGGCTCGTACTAGACGTGAGAACCTGAGTCTGAGATGTGCGAGCACTATCCTGACGTGTTTCCCAAGGATGACTTCGAGGGCGAAGTTTCATTCTAGTAGGGGAGAATTTTAACATCCGATTATCAGGTACTATAATTTTATCCTTTAACTTGATCAAAGTGTGCACATTTGGTCCCTTGTGGTTTAAATTCCACATTTTAACCCATACTTTGGGTGTAAATGATGGTATGCACAGAGTACTTGTGACATGCAAGATTGTGGATGTCGTGCTAGTACGATGGGCGTACTAGCCTGTATCATACGCGTTCATTTATCGTGTTTTGTTAGTTTAAAAATGAATATTATTAAAATATTATATGGTTTTGAGCATTGAGTTCAAACAAGATAGTTTTATGAGATTTGAAGTAAAACTATGTTTAGAATCATTTTGGAAAATATTGGTAGTCTTATGAGATTCCGATCAAAAGTCAACTATTGAAATTAACGAAAATATAAAGTTGGAAATAAGTAAAAATAATATTATTGAAAGTTGTAGATTATCTCGTTAGAAACACTTAGGCGAAAATCTTATCGAAATCTGAGTTATGACGAAGAAGTTATGCCTTATTGAAGTTTCACGACAGAACCGGCACGACGCCATATGACGTAAAAAGTAAGTTTACAATAAACTAATTTTTAGATTTAGTGATCTAAATGAAAGTCGTAGTATTTGTTAAACCGAGAACTTTCATAAAAAGAACGTCCAAATCTGACTTCGTATGAGGAAGTTATGATTTTTCTAAGAATCGGCATAACAGTACACAACCCGAAACTCGAAATAAAGATTGAGTGATTTTTAGCCGACACAACCTAAATGAGAATCGAAGATCTCGTCAATAGTAGTACAACGGTAAAAATACAGACGAAATCGGACGTCGGATGAAGAAGTTATGAATTTTTAACGGACTTTTCCTGTCCCGGCCTGTTAAAAATATAATATTAAAAAATAAAGTCAAAATTAGCCGGTGGAATCCAAACGAAATTTGTAGAGTATAATCTCACCTACGCGTGGATATAAAGAACGTCAAAAACGGAGCTCGTATGCGAAAGATATGAAATTTTATAGTTTATGGCACAAATTACGAGGCTGGACCGGACAAGTACGCCCAGCGTACTTCGTACATACACCCAGCGTACTCGGAAACAAGGTCAGTAGCCGGCCACATCACCCTTCCTTCGCATATCGACACGCACCAGCCACGTCCGAGGTTCGGGTTCCGATCAGAAGCCACGTCTCACCTACGCGTCGCGTACTAGATTACGCTTAACGTAGAGCACCGCTACGCAGTACGCCCACCATACCGAGGAGTTACGCCCAGCATAAAGCAAGGCTTCAGATACTATAAATAGAAAGCGAGGTCTTCCGGTTTTTTGTTTGCAAAATTGACTCTCTTTCACCCTCTACACTCTCTCAAATTACCCTAACACCCCCCCCCCCCCCGAAGCCTTGGGAACTACCCCAACACTCGAAGCAACCCCCGGCGCACCGAAGACCCCGAGAAAATGATATTTTCAGTCGAAACTCTGCCCACACAAAGCCCGATTTTCAACTAAAATCCCCGGTTTCATCAAAGAAAGTCATTTTTAGAAATGAAGTGCTGCCCAAATTATCATTTTATCATTC